GGTCACTGCTTGGGATTGCCGAATCCAGTTCAGATATTTTTTGACAGGTGCGAAGATAAGAAACGGTTTTCCTCTTGGGTTGTCGTTTCATTCACTGTGGTCTTTCGCTATACCAAGGTAACAAGGAAAGCCGCAAAAATTTAGCACAATCAGTTACTTTCCAAGTTGGAACGGAATCAATATGAAATCCTTTCATTCAACTGATTTGTGTCTGGTTTCAGAGTCCCAAGGCATTGACAACCCGCCATTTATGCACTAACAATTGGTTGATGCTCAAAACCTGAGCTTTTCAATCTCTTTATGGTAGTACCTCACCTGATAAAACAGATTTTGTGCGCTTTACTCTGCCAACGACACAGCACTATATATATTTCGTAGGATTTTACAAAAAGATATTTGTATCCCTGTATTAGGAGTGAAAGGGCTAAAGAGAGAGAAGGGAGAACACTATAAGACTGACACTTGCTGGTACCAAAGGGCGATCCTTCTTGAGAGATTTGACTGTTTCATCAACAAATTGCACGGTCTTTTATCTCTTTCCCCTTTCTTTTGAAGACTTAAAGAGTGAATTAAGGAATTAAATTCATTTTCAGCTGCATTCCACGCACAAATCTCGAAATGTGTTAGTTCTTATCTTATGTTGCGTTGCCAAGTATACTATGAACCTTATTTTAAAACGTCTTTGAAATGCCGAAAGGAAGGAAGTGAATTAGACCCGATCAAATTAGATGTACCATTGCAAAGAATTTTATTGTTCATTTTTTGATTATTTATCTTTTTGTACTGCTGCACGATAACAACCAGATACTGCTTAAAACTACAGCTGAAACTAGCTTACTGAGAAAACACGATATATCAGTCGGGACACTGCTCCTTTAACATTTAATTCCTCGTTGCCTTCTGTAATAGCACAAAAACTCACAGCTTTCAGCCTTGTAATTAGTTTTCTCTACAAATGTCAGAAATATAAGGGGACAATTACCAATTCTGTGTTATTATAGTGGGACATAGAGATAATGAACCTCTATATAACGAAGTCCTCGGCATAACGATTGATTTTCTTCACCTAGTAATAGTAAAATATATGCATGGAAAAGAACTTCGATCAAACGAAACCGCGTGAAAGCGAACAAATTTTGCCAGTCCCTTGGCTCTTTGTTTTGTGGGCTCCACAATGAGTACTTCATTTGTCCGAAAAATGAAACAGAACATAATGCATGAGATAAACCTTGCTACAGTTTATTATTGAAATAAATTGTTCACTTGCTTAGACTGCTAGTCTCCCTCGCAGCCGTGATTTTTTTTTTCGCGGAAGAAAAGTGATACCACTTCTTTCACTCAAACGGGCATTATTTGGGTAACTTCAGGTAGACGATATCTAATTCTCATTTACGTTGCTCACAGTCAGATGACGTTGTGGGAAGATCGACAAGACTTTGTTTCATTCCATCTCTCTGCCTTTCGGGGACATAGTTTCTTAATTTATTTACGAGACCCTGATTTCTTCTTGCTTGTCGAGAGTGACGTCATCGCCTATAAGCGTAAAAGGCGCCCAGTATTTTACATCGCTGAACATCTCGGATTCTCTGAGACATTTCATCGCGTGGTTAAGAGACTCGCTCGCACTTCGCCCTTTAACAAGGTTATGGTAGAAGCTTTGCATGAACTCCAACGTGGCCTCGTCATCGATGGCCCAAAGCGACACCAGAACAGAACGAGCACCAGCACCAATAAAGGCACGTGCTATACCAACCACGCCTTCAGCTTTGATCTCTCCCCGACCACTGTGACAGCAACTAAGAACAACTAGCTTGGCTCGCAGCTTTACACTCATGACATCTTTCATTGTCAACATGTAATCCTCTTCTGCAGGGGTCTGCCATTTTCGGCTTTCAGGATTCGGGCTCAACACTATCTCTCCGGTTTCCATGCGTCCATGTGCAGCAATGTGTACCACGGCAACCGAACTAATCTGTTTTAGCACTTCACATTTGGTGGCCAATTTTCCAGTGAGAGGTGCCGTATTAAGAATCTGCCCAATCATCTGTGCTTCTTGTCTGGCAAAAGGAAGCTGTTCAGGCTGGTCTCCATGGCTGTTGGTAATCTCACTCACGTCTGGATCTCCGACAATTAGAGCTCCACTACTGCTGTGGAATTTTGGACAATGAGCAATAATTTTCAAACTTGTCAGCGAAGGAATTAATCTGATTTTAAAGGATTCACACAAGTAATTGGAAAAAGGATTCAGTAACGCAGCAAACGGAGCAAGCCATAATGGACCATCCGGGACAATTATTAGCTCATCGCCCTCAATGAGATCCAAAATTGGGGCAATAACATAGCTGTACAAGGCGGCGAGGGGAAGGTTATCCTCTTGGAGAATTTGCTGTGAGAACTTTTTGGAAGATCGTTCCACAGTAAAGCAGTTTTCGCGTAACACATCTAAGGACCGATTCTCGCAGTTAACATTTGCACGAACACCATTGCTTTTGTAGGCAAATTGGATTAGGGACTGTAATGTTTCAGCTGCTGCATTTTCTGAAAAATGGTGGCAAAGTGTCTTCTGTCGGTGAAGAACAGGTTTTTCTTTCAAAAGTAACCAGATATTTATCTTATCTTCTGACACAGATAGAAAAATCGTGCTTGATGAAGCGCTGTTTAACATGCCGAATTCCTCTTCGTCAAGGCGCTTTCCTTCGGTTTGACCTTCATGAAAACCATACTGGAATGTCATAAGATCAGCTAGTGACTGGGCCCGACCTTCTTCGGCAGCAGCCAGCGCTTCATCAATCTTTTCTTGTTTTAACAAAACTCTACAAAGGCCTGTGTAAGCATAGTTACATTCGTTCCGAAATCCAATCTTCCACCGATCTTCAGACTGGAGGAGACTCCTCATTTGATTGAAAACTTCAACGCTTGTTTGGTAGTTTTCTAGTGCTTTAGGTAAAACTTTCAGCATCTCAAAGCATCGTCCAATATAACTGTGGGTTAGACCTTCCATGCCTTGATCTCCTAAGTTTTTAGCAATTGTAAGTTGTTGGTTGTGCCAATCGATAGCTTTCTTGTAGTCACCAAGAAACTGAGAAACGGTACCTAAATAGCCACAGGCAGCCCCTTCCCCAGCCTTGTCTCCCACTTCTTGGGCAATACAGAGACGCAGGTTGTAACAGTCTATGGCTTTCTTGTAGTTTCCAAGACGTTGAAAAGTGCCGCCGAGATGGCCATATGCACGACCCTCCCCTGCCTTATCTCCCACGTCTTTCGCAATTTTAAGACGTTGTTCAAAGAAGTGGAGGGCTTCAGTGAAATCCTCAAGGCCAAGATAAGCGTTGCCAAGATTACCATATGCAATTGCTTCCCCATCTTTATCTCCAATGGTTTCAGCAAGACGAAGATGTTGTTTGTGGTAGTCAATGGCTCTTTCGAAATCTCCGAGGCTGTCAAAGACACTACCAAGGCCACCATACGCGCCGCCTTCAGCTTCCAAGTTTCCAACATCTTTGGCAATGTCAAGGAGGAGATTGTTGTATTCTATGGATTTCTTGTAGTCTCCAATCCTGTTATAAATATTTCCAAGGGTGCCGTACGCACTTCCTTCCATGTCTTTGTTTCCCATTTCTTTGGCACAAGTTAGTTGCAGATTGGCGTATTTTATTCCGTTTTTTGTATCTCCAAGATCAAGGGAAGCATTTGCTAGACCTCCATACACCTCTGCCATTTTCCTCTTGTTTCCTGTATTCTTGGCAATACTAAGGGACCTGTTGTAATATTCTAGGGCTTTTCTGTAATCACCAAAGCCAGAATAGACATTGCCAAGATTTGTGTACATCATTCCTTCTCCAGACGTGTCTCCTAAACTTTTGTTAATACTAAGACATTGGTTGTTAAAAATTTGGGCTTGTTTGTAGTCACCAAGACAGTCAAAAGCATGACCGAGATTGCCATACGCGGTTGCTTCTAACGTCTTGTCATCCAAGTCCTTGGCAACACTGAGACAGCGGTTGTAGTAGTCTATTGCTTTCTTATACCTACACAAACCTCGAAAAGCATTACCAAGACCGTTACAAGCAGTCCATTCGACAAGTTTTTCTCCCAGATCAACTGAAAGACTGAGTGCAACGTTTTGGTACTCAATAACTTTATTGAAATTGCCGACTTTTAGGAAAACATCGCCAAGAGATTGACAGTAATATGCTTCCATCTTCTTGTCTCCCAATTCTTTTGCAATATCAAGAGCATGGCTGAGATATTCTATGGTCTTTTCGTGGTCAAGCTGAGTCAGAAAAACAAAACCAAGAATACCATACACAGCTCCTTCGAACGCTTTATCTCCCCGATGTTTGGCAGTAGCAAGTAGTGTGCTGTAAAAGTTTACCACGTCCTTCGCATCCCCTGCAGAAAGGTTTATTGTATCACCAAAACTGCTCCTCATTCCTTCCCAAGCATGATCGCTTGCCAGTAAATCATCGATTATTTCCATGGGGTGTTTTTTCACGGATAAATTCGTCGATGGTTGATATGAAGCAATCACCTGTAAAATTGACTTGCTTTTAGATCAAATTTTAGTGAAAGATATACCATGCAAACTTAAAAAGTGTATTAGAGACATGTCCTCATCTTAATGTCTTTCTTGATCCTTTCGTATTTAATTCATGTACCTATTCACTTCAATAAGTATTCAGCTATTACTACTTGAAAAAGTTTTTATTTGTTAGAATTTAACTTGTTTGCGAGGATGAAAAATTTGCCTGGAGCCAGACTTAATGGAGCTTAAAAGCTGATCTGACATTTACGCGATACATATGCCGTGCTGGTATGTAAGGTTAATTTTAGGAACTTCAAGTTAATTTAATTAAATATGATTTTTCAGTTACTTCAAAGCGCACCCAGTTTTCTTATAGCGGAGCTCTGGCGCGCGAAGCGCGCCTGCGGAGCACCATGGGTAAGTAAATCTACCCATCCCAGAAAAAAATGGTAATCACGTGACCGTACACCGCCCGCCCGCCCGTCCGTCCGCACCACAGGGAAACCAGTGTTTAATCCTCACACTTTCTAGCCAGTTTGGGAGCACCGGAAGACTGATATTGCACACATATATTGCACATCAATGTTGTGATCAATTGACAGCTGTCAAAACAGGGCATCCGCTGACCAGCGTCACCTGACCGTATCGCCGGCTCAGGTGTCGACCCATCGAGGTCGAATATCTTTTTGAAGTTATCCGCTTACAAGTTACTAGTTTTCAAATGATCGCAGGCTCAAGTTTTTTTTTTAGTTCATGTGAAATATGTTGTGTTTTGTATGTGCCGCACAATTAAAATGTTGATTTCAAACTGACCTAGGAAGCTAAAATTCAGCCAGTTTTTACAGGCAAGGAAGACATGCCAGTTGCTTTTGACTTTTCTCACCAAGGTCACGCGTTGGTCACGCTCTACGTCCAATTTTTATGCTCTGATTGGTCAAAATTTGACAGGTGAGTTCATGCGGAAAATTTATGCAGCATCTTGAAACTTGTTTACTTTGCTGAAGCTGACAGAGTTTTGTGTCAACTTGTAATGATTTTAATTGTCTTTTTCCACTGAATGTACAAAACGAAATTCAGCTGCTATCAAGAGTCTTCTGTTATTCATGGCTAGTTTGTTTATTGGGTTTTTGGTTGAGAGATAAGTCGCTTGTCAAAGTCGGAAATCCGATTTCGGATGGCATCGTTTTCGTTTTTCACCTTGCTTGATGCGTGAGAGGGTTGAAAAGTCTGAAGCGATTCTGCCTTACTTGATAGTTTTCAGTGCATCTCGAATGGTAAGCCTGAGTAATTATTGTATTTGACGTTTGTTTTTTATATCTACTTTAATGAAGTCGAGCGTAGTTTATGCGGCTATTTAGTTTATGCACTTTTTTAATTGTAAGATTTGAGACAATGATCTGACCGAGTATCAGGTTTCATTATAAGCTTGTAGAACTTTAAAAAGCCTTTAGAAATTTTCTCACCGCAAATAGAAAGAAAACGTTCCAAAGAATATTTAGTTATAATTCTGGCTGTAAAAGAAAGCTTTGAGCGATTTTCTTGCCTCGAGTTCATCTTTGAAAAAGCAAACACCGGGAAGCCAGCTTACAAAATGAAAAACATGAACAAGGATTTTCAGAGACACTTTAATACTTGTCTTCGTGAAAGAAAATTGTTGTCTCTGTATATGTTTCACCGAATTATTTTTCTTTTATTGATTGTTAGCAGTCTCTTTTGCAATTTTTATCGCTGTGCCGTTTGTTTTCAGTCGCTCATGAATATCGCTTGCATACAGGAGTAGTCAAAATGCCGCGCGTATCAAACGCTTTTGACGATTACACATCGTTATAAAACCATTAAATGAAAAATAAACATAATAAATTCTTTATTATGTTGAAGCGTATAACTCTATTAATCATAATTTAAACAGTCGACATTGGCTCTTGTCAAAAGTGAGAAGCGGCTAGCCGTATAGGTAATTTTGGAAATGTTTTTATATAAAACGGTTTCGCTAAAAGTCCACACGTGCTTCGATCGTCCTGAATACTGAGTGAGTGCAATTTGTATTGCAAAATTGTGAAATACTGCATCCTGTCCGAGAACTGTATGATAAAAACAGGGCCTCATGGCACTGTTTCACCTCAGATGTGATGTATAAAAAGTATAAAAGTTTGGGTTACACGTCCCCAGACTTGTTGGCAAGATTTTGTAAAGTAAACTTGTCGAACGCAAAAAATTCGACCTGATTTGTTTTCCAGGCCTAATCTACTGCGATCAAGAGCCCGCGCTCTTAAATGTGATCGAAGATGTTTGCTATTTTTTGGGTGTACATATAAGGCTATCAACTCCATGTAAGATTAAGTTCACTCTTAGCTTGGACTGTTTGCAAATTACTTTTCTGTAAAATCACTTAACCTTCCCTCAAAAGTCACATGAATGTGCTCTAAAGTTAACTGAATTGTGGAAAACAAGTTTATTGTTTGATTTAAATTATAAATTCGAGTTAATATATAGGAGCTTCGCTTTTAGCCCTGGCTAAATCTATATNAAACAGGGCCTCATGGCACTGTTTCACCTCAGATGTGATGTATAAAAAGTATAAAAGTTTGGGTTACACGTCCCCAGACTTGTTGGCAAGATTTTGTAAAGTAAACTTGTCGAACGCAAAAAATTCGACCTGATTTGTTTTCCAGGCCTAATCTACTGCGATCAAGAGCCCGCGCTCTTAAATGTGATCGAAGATGTTTGCTATTTTTTGGGTGTACATATAAGGCTATCAACTCCATGTAAGATTAAGTTCACTCTTAGCTTGGACTGTTTGCAAATTACTTTTCTGTAAAATCACTTAACCTTCCCTCAAAAGTCACATGAATGTGCTCTAAAGTTAACTGAATTGTGGAAAACAAGTTTATTGTTTGATTTAAATTATAAATTCGAGTTAATATATAGGAGCTTCGCTTTTAGCCCTGGCTAAATCTATATATTAGCATTTTGTTAGGTGTTGTCGAGTTGTTACTTTCGGGATTTGTCATAAGATGATATGTCTGTATATGGCCGGAATGGGACTTTTGTCAACTATTCTTAGTATTGCCGTAATCAATTTTTAAGAATGAAAGGTCCTGGGAGAAAAAAGAAACTATATTCATATCACTACCAATAGACTTAAGGAATCCCGAATTAACAGCCTTTGTGAGAACTCAAGCGGTTAAAAATTTCTTTACTACTAGTGACCTTAAATTAAAGAGCCAGTTTAGGTTTAAATGAAGGTACTCCTTTTGACAAGTCCAGTTACAGTAAGTGACGTAATTAACGCCCGCTCTCAAATGGACGCCTTTTGTCTGATAAACGCCTCCTTAAGGCAATTCACTTGTTTTGCATTGTGCACCCTATACTGCGCATAATATTGCGACATCCAAGATGGCGGCGGTTCTTCCCGCTAGCGCGAAAAGAAAAAACAAGAGCCGCTTTTGCACAGCTAAAGCTTTTATTCGCAATAATAATGGCGCAGATCGGCTGAGAGCTTCCTGGTTTGCTATCGAAAAACAAGAAAATGAAAGAAATGTGCGTGATCCCGACGTCTGCAGTGGTTTTTCACTTCGCGGCCGTTGAGTTGTGGAGTTATTAAAATTTCGTAGCTGAGGCTTTGGATGGTGGCTGTGAAGCCTGTGGGACAGCTCTACGACTCTCCAATTGCATGCACGAGCCAGTGTCTGGCCTGGGATCGCTACTGTACATATCTTGTTCAAACTAAAGTGTGGAGAGACGAATATTTCTGGAACAAATAAGACCCACCGTAGCACCAGGACCATGCGAGGAAGACCAATCTTTGATGTAAACACGAAGTTTGGTGCTGAATTCACATTTTGCTGTATATAGAAACTAAACGAGCGAACAGATGAAGAATAGGAATCAATAGTCTTTTCTTTAAGTTTCTCTGTCAAGCATTATTGTGCAAAACCAAAAAATCGAACCCGAGCTCACTGGAATTAGACCGAACGCCGGCGATACAAAATAGTCCAAAATAAAGATTCATAACTCCAAAATCTCATCAAATTTTGACTTACCTCATTCTTTGGTATTTATTGTACTCTTTTCAAGTATGAATTTCTGTGTTGGCAATATCAAACGCATAAAAACAACCGAAAACAGGCTTGATCTCGAGTGCATACTTCAAACACGATGGGCGCGACAGAGCTGAATAACGTCTGCGCAGGTGCCCAGAGGGGAGAGGTCTGGGATCTGGTACTAGTATCGTTTCCAAAAGGATTTTCAAAACATCCTCACATTTTGGCGATTTTTAAGGTGGATTCTGAATATTTAAGGTTCCCATTTAAAGTAAAGGTAGATGATTTCATACTTTATTCAATTCTCGGTTATAGTTTTGTAATTTTTCTTATATTTTTGCTATGAACAAAAGAAGACGAACGAACGAAGGGTCTCTTCTAAATTAGTATCGTTTGCAAAAGGATTTTCTAAACATCCTCACATTTTGGCGATTTTTAAGTTGGATGCTGAATACCTAAGGTTCTCATTTAAAGTGAAGGTAGATTATTTCATACTTGATTCAATTCTCGTTTATAGTTTTGTAATTTTTCTTATATTTTTTGCTATGAACAAAAGAAGATGCAGGTTCGAAGCAGCACAGTTCTTTCATTCCAATGTTTACATGTTTAAGCGTAAAATGAACGACGGCTTATCAACATGCGATCAGCCAGGCATCTCATATCAGTGTTAGCATTAAAGGAACATTTTGATATTCATCTTTATTTTTCCTTGAATGATCGACTATTAATTTCTGTTGTTTCGCTAGGTTTCACTATAAGAACTGTAAGAACATAAAAAAAATTCACTGAGGTTTCTCTTCTTTCTTCCACTATCCAGCTATTGCAATCAGATTTACTAATAAAGTACATACTAGACCTACAGATCTAGGCCACCAAAATTTCGTACTGAATCTAATTTATATTGATCTACTTTAATTCAGTCTTGCTCACGTGCATGGAGCTTATGAAAAACCATCTTCCGCAGTTGCTCAGTCTCTGAACAAGAGCAAGCCTAACCTGCCATTCTTAGCTATCACCGACTCATTTGTGAAACTGAAGTGTGTCAACCCGTCTTAGTATGTTAGACCATCGAAGTAATTCAAGCTAGTTGTAATCCTTGAGTTAGCTTCATTTTATTACCTTACTTTTGACTTTAAAGAAATTAATTCATGAAAAAGATGCAAATAGTTGGCAATTGCGACTGCCAATGATCAAGAGCTAAGTTCTTTTTCAAGGTTTTAACAGTATGAACATGTAGTGGGACACTTCACTTTGTTTGATTGTGTTCCTGAGTTTGGCTTCCTGATATCCCCCTCTTTCACCAGGCAACTGATAATGTAAACCTTTTTTTATGTTTGTTAAAATTGTTACCCAACTGTTGCCCAACTGATCAAGAATTTATACTGTATTTATACACGGTTAACAAGAATAATAAATAATCACTGAACCAATATAAGTGGGTCTTATCCACGAAAAAATCTTACAAATTCAGCTCAATGTAATATCATTAAAATAATAAACTGATTTTAAATACATTTTACATATTGGGCTTAAAAAGTGAAGTGGTTGTTTGGTATTTTTTCCTTTATGAGAACCATAATACCTATTTATTTGTTTCTTTTAACATTAGAAATAATTTAACTAACGTACATGTCTCCCCTTGCCAAAGAGAGAAATTACTGTTCATCTCAAATTACAAACTGTCTTCAAACTGACATTTAAATAAAGAAGGAAGCTCTTAAATGAGATAAATGATTGATCAATAAGACCCTTTACCAAAGAGCCAAAGAAAAATCACATACAGTGAGGAGAGTGCAATACAGAGTCTTAAGAGTGTGTCCATGAGGAAACCAGGCAGAACCAGGCAGGGGGTGATAATGCTCAAATCACCGATTTCGATCAAATTTTTGCTCAAACTTGGCACAAATGCTAGGTGTCAGGAGTTAACTTATGTGACAGAATGTCAGGTCAAAATATTAAATTCCCTGGGAGATCCGGGCTCCCCCTGTAAAAATCGCCATTTTGCCCGTTTATGCATAATTAATTAGCTAACTTTACGATGCCAGTGCAACAAACAGAAAAGCCACCTGGAACTTAAATGCACTGAGAGATAATCTGACATCATAAGACTTTAAGCACAATAAACTGTTTAAAGTCGCCGATTCGATTTCCCCCCTCTTAGCCCCCTTAAGTTGGGTCATCATTTCCAAGTTTTGAGTAAGACGTAAAATTAGGGTATTTTATTCCCAAATATCTCTGATGAGCAACCGCTTATCTTTATAACTTTTGCATGAGTAGTTAAAGCCATCACTTAAGTTGAGAAAAAGATCATAAAAAGTTTGGGCAATTCACTTTCTTCCATGTGTTGACATAAACTGTTCATGTGACTGAACGACTTTTGCATATTTCATCAAAATTCAGGCCCTCACAATATTCGTGTGTTTGCCTTTGAATGAGGAGAAATCGAACAAAAAAACTCATCAGACAATGATTTAACATTAATAAGGGTAAAATCATAAAAATTGTTGTGCAAGAAACGCTAACGATGATTTTTGATAGCTATATACGCGATCTTTTCAAGTAAAAACAACATACAAAGATTTAATTCACAGTTCTACTTACTTTAACAATTTCGCCCTAAAAACAATATAAACGATCAATAAAATCCATATACGTATCTCTTAGATGTCTCAACTGCTAGTTTGTGCCCGCTTTGATTTGTTCTTCATGCCACCTTCGATGTCCAGTTCAGCGTAGTTCAGCGTCGTGACTCGCTGTACGACTAAAATTCCTTAGCCATCAGTTTACGCACCAAAATCCAAATCAAGTTGTTTTAGGACAAAACAATACGAAAGGTAAAAAGCCGATTCTTAACCCATTGAAAGAATTATTTCTGCCACTGTTGTAGCTCAATTCACATGTTGCAAACGTCCGACATCTTTGACATTAAATGGAGCCCGCATTTTTAAGCAGCGGTTGCCACCATACGGAAACATCGTATCGGGAGTCAGGAACCAGGAGCCAGGAGCCAGAGTTCAGTGAACAAAATGACTTTCCGACATTCTCTGAGATTATTTTATTGTTATTGTATGCTGATAAATAATTTAGAATTCCAAATCTATTGGCAACTTTATTCAGACCATGATTATAAATGATCCCATGTCTTCTCAAACTCGGAGATAGAAGTCGTTTTGTCTTCGTGTTTTGGAAAGAACTATTTTTTCTATTTTAGTTGCACGTGAAATAGCAGCGAAGTGAAGCCGGATGTTGGTGCAGACCAGTTCAAAGAGACAAATAAAGCGTGAGACACGTCCAGATTGGCTTGCGACAAGAATTCCTTTTTTTTTTTCATACTGGAGTCCCTTCTCCCCGGGGGAGTGTCCAAATTGCGTACAAATGCCCTACCCTGCTGGCACCAGATTTGACTGTCATAAACAGTGAATTTTTTTATCTCGCACGGTCTTTTGGGGGTCTTATAAAGCCTAACTGTGGCACTAATGTTCCCAAGTAGAATTCAAAATACACCACACTTTCACATTGAGTTAGATATTTTTCTCAAACAACCGCTTCCATATGTTTAACACCCTTCCCACATTCCCTCCGAGAGATACTTCAACTGTAATACTTCGATTTCAAATTTCTCACCCTACCCAGGTAAGGTCAATTTTCTCGTCCTAGACATCGATCTCGGAAGGGCCTTTTTGCGTACTCTTGGGCACCAAAACCAGTTTAGTGCCCAGCCGTGTGCCGTGCTGAGGCAGGCAGATGTTGAATTATGGACAGACACAACAATTAAGTTACAGACATTTGATGTTCCGGTCCGTGCGTGGTCGGAAGACACCCAGTAAATAATGCCCATGGGGTTGCCCAAGGAAAATTTGGGTTTTACGAGAGTCGAACTGCAGGAGGTCTTTAACGAGGAAAAGTGCGGACACATCTACTTTTTGGAGTGAATGTACTGCATGCAATTTTTAAGTTACAATATACTATAGATAAATCTAATTTGTTTCTAAAGTTCCTCTCATACTCCGAGTAGCTTAGGACATACAGGGAACGCAGAGATCAGACCATTGCATCATGGAAAATTCTCAATCAGACTGTCATCGTAAAAAGTGGTCGCGGTCGCTTACTGGATGTGGATGTGTTCGTTTACAGGAGGTTCCAACTACAAGCGCTTTGACTTGATAATATATTTGGTGTGTTGAATAAGTGATCGCTTATTGGGAAGTGGTCACTTAAGTTGGGTGGTCGCACGTAGGTTCGACTGTGCCTCGTTAAGCGAAAATTTGTTAAAATGTAAGAGAAATCCTAAAATTGTAATACAGTGGAAGCTCTCGTACGAGGGCGCCCTCGGGACGAGAAAAAGGTGTCCTTAACTGGATCTGGCCGCTTACAAGAATGAATCTCATATGCAGCATAGTTATGCAAGTGGAATTCAGCCACTTTAAAAGTGGTGTAAAGGTTAGATAGCCGCTTACGGAAGCTCCTCCCAGCTACAAATTAACACTGGTAATAGCAAAAAACTGTTTTTTAGTGTATGGTTACGCTGATGTTCTTGCCTTGTTGTAATTTAGGTAAAAGCATACAATTCAGTTTGTATTTTCAAGTGTAACCGGACGAGTATGTGAAAAAACGGTAACTCTGAAACGGATATATAAGAATGATTCATAACAGTGACAAACAGCCATATGACTGTGGACATGATATGAAAAAAAAAAACAACATTCAGAGGCGGATAAGATTTCTTTCGAGTGTCTGCTTAGGAGAGCTTTAAATCAAAGCTAACATCTAATTCGCCGGTAAACCCTTTAAGTGTCCGCGGCCGCCTACGGGAATGTAAAAATCCAGAGTTTGTGTGGGAGTTGAAACGGGATTTTGTGATGGCGGTCGTAAGTAGAGCTATTCGCTATATACGAGAGTGTCCGTTAAGAGAACTTAATCTACTGTATGAATCCGCAAATGACAGCTTAAATGAGAAGTGAATATAGTGTATTAGTCTGTGTTCAAGAAACTGTTCTCTTACACCTTCCTTATAGCCAAAGAAGTCTAGCCGACTTTTTTTGCAATGTATTAGTGCCCCCTTTTGGGTCTTTTGTATTCCTCAGAAGTTTTTCCTCAACACGTTTATAAACGGTTATTATTATATTTTTGTAGTCAATAATATACCCAGATACAGATACCAACCTGTATAGTTGTAAGACTACGAGGATTAAAATACAACTAAGTAAGTAATTATACCCAGTGGCAAGTCATTAATTGTCTAAAAATTGCACGGCACGGTCTGACTACAAAAAGGGCTATTATGGACCATTATTATCATGGTAATTAATGTCAACATCGAATAAACTCAAAATTTCAAGTAACACGACTTTCACAACCTATTTTCAACACACCAGTTATAACAGGATATTGGCGCGTACAACAATAGATAGCGTATTCCGCATTCCGGAGTCCGGTAGTCCGGCGTCACAGATTCCATCTTTTTGGCAGAGTCTAAAGTCAAAGATGGAGGGTGTTCGAGCAGGTGGTTGTTTTCTGTAGATATAGACGGATTGTCAGTGATCCTTCTTGTCCTTTGAGAATGATTTTGTTCTTTCTGACTACAACTTATTTCAAAGACTTCGAATGTTCGGTGAAAAGCCGACACTTTTAATTCTGCAATGTTTCAAGATGTTTCGATTTCATTACCTCGTCACGAAGTAACGCCACAAAGGACCAGACGAAACTGGAGCAGCAAATCTGGACTAAAGCACCTGAGAGACGTGTATGTAACATTTATTCACTATCTTTTATCCTTGTTGGGTCTTGTTTCACCTACAAGTAGGACCGATCGAAGTTTTGAACTAACTCTTTTGCTCCTTGTGTTTACTCAAGCGTTCCATAAAATATCCATCCAAACGTCCATAAATAACACAGAAAACATGCCTCAGGTGACACGTTCTAACAATTCCGCTATTAGTATCGATAATGACGCATCTGATTTGTGACTTCTCGTCAACTTTGTGCTATTTTTGTTTAAAAAAACGAATGTTACGTTTCTTCCAATTTTGGTCAAATGACAAATAAGCGTCAAGTCAGATGTACATAATACGTCATTATTGATAAAGTATGAGATTGCCCAAATATTTTATGATTGATTTGATAACCTTAAAGATGTCTTTCAAAGAATATGTGAGAATTAAGTACATAGGTTGTTGCTCATGGGAGATGTTAGCCACTAAAATACCTTAAATTTAGGGTTTGGTCAAAACAGTGAGAAGATGTCCTTACTTTAGGCTAAATAAAAGGAAGAGATCGAATTAGAGAGTAAAAATAAATTACTGAGCATTAAGTTTGATAAACATAGAAGGTGATAAAGTTGATTAGATTTGTAGTTGTCTTTTCTTCTTGTTGAACAGCCAAACCAAAGTCAGCTAATTAATTATGCAAAAATGAGTAGATTTTGTCGTTTTTAGGGGGGGTCCCTGTAAATCCCAGGGAATTCAATATTGCGACCTTATTTTTTGTCGAGGTTAATATCTCACCACACCCATCAATTGTGCCAAGTTTGAGCGAAATCCGTGATTTGAGCATTATCACCTCCTGCCTGGTTCTCTCATGGGCACACTCTTAATTATCAGAGGTCCAAACCCTCTCCACTCTCTAATAAAAGGTAGCCTTTACTATTACGCACCCTTGAAAACATGACCCATTCTCATCTCAGCTGACAAGAGCTATTTTATTGCATTTACCAGTATACAACAACAATCAAAATTAATGTGAAAAGAGAAAATAGGTAAGTAACACAATCGATGGCTGCTGGTAAAAAAGTATCAATGACTTGAAGTTTTCTCAAAGCTTCATTACCAGGAGAAGCACAAATCTGACTCTCAGTAAACTCTCTTTACCCCTTTTTTTACATTCTTTTTATTCTTTACTCTTTCTTAATTTTTCTCTTTGAAGTCAAGATCTTCATTCCTTGATTCTTCTGCTTCAGTCAGACCTGTTATAAATGGGAAACTTATAGTTGATACGAAAACTCACATGGAACTCAGTCAACTCAGTGTGTTTTTGCTCAAAACTTCACAAGCTTTAAACTTTAAAAGTGCAAAAAAATTAAACAAATGAACAAGCTTGACTAAATAAATATATTCTGCAGCTCGGCCAGTACCTTTTTGTTCTAGGACAAGCCAGTACACGAACAAAATTAAGTGCTGAAGCTTAGTGTAAGAAAAGGCTTCTTTGATCGCACTAACATTTGTATATGTTTAAAAGCTCTATAGCTAAGCATAAATCCTTGTGTCTGATGGCATCATTGCGCTCATTGCCCGCTTTCGTGCCACCAAGAAAAGAACCACACGAGTCATCACTCGGCTATATTACAAAGATTTGCTCTTCTTCAAACGTAATAAGGGACTGGTCAAAAAGTATAGGGGGAGTGGGACGGAGCATTTGGAAATGTGGTTGATAAAAAACACATGACCCACCCCCTCCCTTCGGCACAAAAATGACTGGCCCACCCCTAAAGCAAGGTTGGAAATTGCATAACCCACCCCCTAGTTAAAACATGGATGTTTGGTTTCCTCTTAATCATGTCCAATAAAACCTTGTTCTGTGTTCCAAAAATTTGTTGATATACTGCTACAACCAATATCAAAATCACAGAAATCGTACCTTTCATTGAAAAGACAAATGTGAAAAACCCAACATTCCTTGTTTCGATGGACGTTATGAGTCTTGACACAAGTATACAGCAAAACGAGGGTATGTTGAAATTGAATGTCACAAAGCATGTGAAAATTTCTAAAAAGACAACCCATTCCTACAGATTACTTGCTGGAAATGCTTAGATTAATCGATCCTCAAAGAAAATTTCTTCCACTTCAATGGAAAGGACTACCTACAAAACCATGGAACTGCAATGGGCACAAAGACAACAGATTTGATTCCTTTGCCAATATTTTCATGACATACATTGAAACAACAACTCTAAGCAAAACTGTCTGTAGAACAACAGTTTGGAAATGCTACATACACGATATCTTTGCCCTATGGGACATGAGTAAACCAGACATCGAAGCCTTCATTGAACAAGCAAACTTTTGAATTCACGACCGAAACATTTGACACTGACCCTGCGTTTTTAGACACGGTCGGGCAAAGGCACAATATTCAAGGAAAAATCTATCCTTGATGCAAAGACACATTTTTAGCAAAGGCAAACCTTCTTGCACACACATTTCACCTCGTGTCACCCTCCAGATGTTAAAAAAGGATTTGTCAAAAGAGAAGCCTTGAGAATCCTACGAAAAAACTCCTCAGAAACAACCTTTGAGAACAATAATTCAAATTTAAAAAATAACGCTTGATGGACAGAGGCTATCCACAATCTTTGATAGAAAACATACTATCAGAAATAAAATTCACAAAAGGGACTCTAAACTCCTAAAACAAAACAACAACGAGGAAAAAGAAATATTGCCATTCGTGACACAATACCAGCCCTCAGTGTCTACTATAAAGGAAGCTTGAATGAAAAAATGGAATCTTATACAAAACCAACTGTANCCACAATCTTTGATAGAAAACATACTATCAGAAATAAAATTCACAAAAGGGACTCTAAACTCCTAAAACAAAACAACAACGAGGAAAAAGAAATATTGCCATTCGTGACACAATACCAGCCCTCAGTGTCTACTATAAAGGAAGCTTGAATGAAAAAATGGAATCTTATACAAAACCAACTGTAACCTCAACAAATTTTTAAAGAACCACCAATCATTTCCTTACAAAAAAGGAAAATCATTGAAGGACATGCTCGTAAGAGCCAAAACAAAAGGTTAAGGGTTCCACGCCCGTATAGATGTACGGCCTGTCACCCTTTTGTACTTTCTCACACAACAGGTTTGTGAGTATTTTAGTAATAATTCCAGCTGGCTGTGTTTTATATAACAAGTGTAGTCAACTGTCTCGTTAGTAGTTGGTGCCTATCTATGTAATAAAATAGGGTGACCCACCCCCTAAGGGTAGCTGAAAATTGCACGACCCACCCCTTGCACAAGGCTCAAAACCGCATGACCCACCCCCTCTCTGCTCCGGCCCACCCCCCTCTATACTTTTTGACCAGTCCCTAAGGTAGTATATTAAATATTAAAGTAAATCGTTTACGTACCATTGGAGAAAAGTCGCCAAAACTCCAGCAAAGCTCTTTTTCTCTCAGCGATCTTTCTGATAAATTTACGATCAAAACAATGAAAAACCTCGCCGGGAGGGTCAAAAGCGTTTTCCTTGATCCCTGGTTTACTTAAAATTCCTTAACAAGACTTGCACTTCTAACGTGCTCACAGAATCTCTTCTTCGTGAGTTTAAAAGATGATTTTCACGTCGCAAAGGTGTATCCCCCGTGCGGCTCAACGTGCAGCTACGCTTGGTAAACAAGTGATGTCACGGACATGCGTAGTACGTTATTCAGCCCTGTCGATGGGCGCTATTTTATTTCTCGCCCCAGTCCCCGCAACGCAAATCATCCATCCTGACTGCGAGCTCAAAAACCATGTCCACCTTTCACAGCTTTTTGTGAGGAAACAAGTACGGTGACCCCCGATTTTTTGACAGGTATTTGCTAAGAACAGTCTAATAAAGAACATATCTAAAGAACAAAAAAAAATTGATAGAAGAAGATGATTTTTTTTGGAAAATAGTTTCGTACTTGGTGTCTTTGTGTCAGGGCGAAGACTTCAAGCCAACCACGGAATTGTGCCGAAAAAGTGTAATATCCCCAAAACCAGGCAATCAGAAATGGATTAAATGAAGCAATACTGCTTATTTGAATATAAGATGTTCAAGATAAACTTTTGTGTGTTTCGAGTAACAAAGACTTAACTCTGTAAGAAGGTGATTCGAATTTTTAACGCGCAACCAGTAAAAATACCCCAGTTTAAGAACCTGATGACGCGTAAACAAGCACTGTGACTCCATCTTTTTATTGCATTTTTTTAATGTTCATATCACGAATGTGAATTATGCTAAGTTTAAAAAAAAGGTTTGATAGTAGAACAATTTCAAGGGAATTACCTTAAGTTTTCAAGTTTGAAAGAAACGGGAAAACTGATAAAAGTGCTTATTTGTTTTGATAAGTGAAATTAATGAGAAATAAACATAAGCTAGTTTTGTTTTTTTAAAAAACGGTTTGTCTGGTACCAGATTTGTACAATTACTTTCAAACAAACCTGGATCGGGTTTTGCTAATGATGACAGAATGTAATTAATATATATATTTAGCCACAGCTAAAAGCGAAGCTCCCATTGATAAATTTATAACTTAAATAAAACAATAATTTTGTATTCCACAAATGAGTTAACTTAAGGGCACATTCATGTGACTTTTGAGGGAAAAGCTAAGTGATTTTGGAGTGAAACAAATTTTGTATCGAGTTGATATAGCCTTATATGTACACCCAAAAAAAAAAGGCTTCGGTCACATTTAAGAGCAATGATGGCTCTTGATCACAGTAGATAAGGCGTGGAAAATAAATCAGACCGAATTTTTTGCGTTCGACAAGTTTACAAATTCTTGCCAATAAATCTGGGTGCGTGCAAACCAATCTTTCATTTTTTTATACACCACATCTGAGGAGAAAGAGTACTATGAGGCGCTGTTTTTATCATACAGACCTCGTACAAAATGCAGTATTTCACAATTTTTCAAGACAAATTGCATTCATTCAATATTCAGGACCAGCGAAGCACGCGTGGACTTTTAATTAGCGAAACCGTTCAAAAAATTTCCAAAATCACCTATACGGCCAGCCGGTTCTACCTTTCGACAAGCGCCAAATTTGCGAAGAAATTTTAAAAGAGTTACGCTTCAACGTGATAAAGAATTTATTGAGTCTATTTTTTATTAACGGTTTTATAACGATGTGTAGTCTTAAAAAGCGTTTGATACGCTTGGCATTTTGAGTACTCCTGCAAGCGATGTTTATGAACGGCTGAAAACAAACGGCAAAGTGATGAAAATTACACTTTTGAGACTACCAAAAATCAATAAAGAAAAATAATTCGATGGAACATTTACAGAGACAACAATTTTCATTCACGAAAACAAATGAGTATTTAAGTGTGTCTAAGAATCCTCAAGTCTTTACTAGTGAGCTTAAAATTTCTGTTTCAAGCCGCCCGGGTTTCCCGGTGTTGGCTGTTTTCAAATATGAACTCACAACAAGAAAATCGTTCAAAGCTTTCTTTCTACAGCCAAAATCATAACTAAATATTCTTCGGAAAGTTTTTTCTTTCTATTTACGGTGAATTAATATCGACTTAAGGCTTTTTAAAGTTCTCTAAGCTTAAGCTTATATCAAACCTCATACTAGGTCAGATCAGTGTCTCAGTCAAATCTTAATACAAACGTGCATAACTAGCTTCATAAACTGCGCCGCTGGACTTGATGAAATTAGAATTAAATACAATAATTACTCAGGCTTACCATATTTCGAGATGCAGCTCCTGAAAGCTATCAAGTAAGGCAAGGATCGCTTGAGCCTTTATAATTCTCGTAAGCATCCAGCAAGGTGAAAAACAAAAACGATGCCATCCGAAATCGGATTATCGGCTTTGACAAGTGACGCATTTTTCAACCAAAAACCCAATAAACAAACCAGCCATGAATAAGAGAACACTCTTGATAGCAGCTGTATTTCATTTTGTACATCCAGTGGAAAAAGACAGTTAAAAACATCACAAGTTGACTCAAAACTCTGTCAGCTTCAGCTGTCAAAGTAAACAACTTTCAAGATGCTGCATAAATTTTACGCATGAACTCACCTGTCAAATTTTAACCAATCAGAGCATAAAAACTGGACGTGGAGCGTGACCAACACGTGACCATGGTAAGAAAAGGTCTTCTTCGCCTGTATTTTAAAAAAAACTGGCTGAATTTTTGCGTCTGAGGTCAGTTTGAAATCAAAATCGTAATAGTGCGGGGCGATACTGACACAAACACAACATATTTGTTGTGAATTTAAAACATAAGTAAACGTGAGCCTGCGATCATTTGAAAACGAGTAAATTGTCAGCGGATAACTTCAAAAAATACTCGACCTTGATGGGTCGACACCTGAGCCCGCGATACAGTCAGGTGATAGTGGTCAGCGGATACCCTGTTTTGACAGCTGCCAATTGATGACAACATTGATGTGCAATCAGCTTTCTCCTGGGCTCCCAAAGTAGCTAGAAAGTGTGAGAGTAAACATTGGTATGCCTATGGTGCGGACGGACGGTCGGTCGGTCGGTCGGTCACGTGATTACCAAATTTTCTGGGATAGGTAGATTTCCTTAGCTATGGGGCTCCGCCCACGCGCGCGCTTCGCGCGCGCGTGGAGCTCCGCTAAAAAGCATTATTACTCATTCAAAATATTTCCGCGATTCTGATTGGCTAAAAGCACACGCCTAATTCACCATCACCAGCTACTGATGACCAAATTTGGAAGAATTTTGCGATTAATCAACCGATAACGTCAAAAGTGCAGCTCCCTTGCAGGTTAATGCACCGTTAACCGAGAACCCTGGGGACGAGGTTGAGTTGTCCTGGTTGTGAAAACAAAAATGGCGGACATTTTACTCGTTTCAATAGTAAGAATTGGGTGAAATAATAGCCAAAAACACGGCAAGAACAGCAAGAAGACAACTTGAAGAGCGACATCTGCTATTTGGAGCTGAACAACGCTAAACGTGCACTATCGAAGATGAACTTAATATCGATGGAGGTAAGCATGTTTTAGCTATGTTTTTAAACTAGGAATTATTTTGAATGAATAATAAAACAATTTTTGAATTCGGCTTTCGTATCATATGAAGAATTATGGAGATCTCGGAGGGTGTTATCCGTCGAGGCCGCTCCTACCTACCTCGTTCTCACCGAAGTTTCTAAGGCCCAGTTCAAACGTCGAATTTCACATGTGCCGAATTTAATTGCTATTTTAGTCGACCAAAATAGTTAAATACGGCATTTGATTCAAACGTCGAATTTATCTCACTGAACTCTGTCGAATTTAACTCTCTTCGCTGTCAATATTCTCAGTAATATAATAATAATTTACTAAAATTTGTTCATTAAGTTCGGCACATGTGAAATGCGACGTCTGAATCAAAAGTCGAACCTAAGTCGAATCTTGCTGACAAAGTCAGCGTCTATGCCGTTTGCAGCGTAAATTAAATTTGTCAGCTTAAATTAACTAAGTTTGCAGCGTGAAGTGTACGTAAATTGAGAGCGCTTAAGTTCGGCACATGTGAAATTCGACGTTTAAACCGGGCCTAACACGTGGTGGTCGCACGACCAGAAGCTCCTAACTCTTGCAAATACGCACCCTTATTTAAATCTAAATCTGGACAAAGGATATTATTTTACCGAGTAGTAAGTCTGTGGAACAATTTGGACAATTCTTTTTAACTCTGTAACTCTGTTCGTAATTTTAAGGGTAAACTTTTAAGAGCCAAATTAATTACTGCTTTCCTATCTTATCGGTCTTAGTTTATATCATATATATTTTATTTTTTAAGTTGCTATTTCAGTTGTAATTTCCGTGAATATTTATTAACATTTTAGCTTTCTTAACATTTTTTATTAAACATTATACTATTGTAATTTTTAGATTTACTCTCGTTTTTAATTAATTATTATTATCACTGAAAAGCCCTCTTTAGGAAGTGTGAATAAAGTTTGTATTGTATTGTATTGTTCTTACTGGTTAAAATTGAAGTTGAAGTAAACTGTCCTACGAGGAATTCAATCTTGTTTTCTTCCGGCGGCGCGCTCGATTTCTTTTAGACAATTTATTATATTGACGTCAATTGCTTTTATTATAAGTTTCGTTGAGCTTGCTGCAGTTATGAGACTGAATAAACGATTCTTTCTTTTAAACGCCTCCTATCTGTCAAATGCCCCCTCTCGGACTACTAAACTGTTAAATATACGCCTCTGGCCTCTATTAGATCATTTACGGTCTCTAACGGAGAAAAGAGTGTAGGCACACGTCAGGAAAAGTAAGTTGTTTTAAAATTGTTTGAGTCAGGACATGAGAGATTGGGAACTGGTGTTAAAGAGGAAGCAGAAGAAACCATTTTTGAGATAGGATGTGATCCCCTTCGAATCAAGCAATGACCTTGGGAAATCTTTGGACTATTAGAAATCCAGCTCGTATGTTATGTACACTAACGACTTACCGGTTCTTTCACACTGGTAGCCTCTGACTTCTTTGGAATCTCGTTTTGCTTTTCTGGGAGCTTATATTCAACATTTACAGATGACCTCTTTATTTCTAAGAGCGTTTTGTTGAAATTGTCAATCTTGGGATGGTCAAGTTCGGTAACAAGGTTTTAGAAAGTCGCAAACAACGGACTTGTGTTTCAGCTACAAATAATGCGTTATTAAACCTAATTAAACACCCTGAGTAAATATGTGCGAAATACACCCCCAACATTGGTATATATTCACTCAAACTATGAAGCAAGTACACATTCCTTTCGCCCTAGTTAGCTTTGAGGGAGGGGCAAAAACAGCCTGCGCTGCCTTTGATTATCCCTGAGTGGCACACACCTATCCTGCTTGTAAGGTGTCTTTTCATCGGTCAGCGAAAACATAAACACAACATTTTTTATCGTTATTTCCATTGTTTTAGGTCAGGGTAGCAAACCATTTGGCTTTTAGGGTTAGAAGAACTGCTACATGATCTCTCTCCCCGGAATGAAGAAAAACAATATTGCCGCCAAATACATCCCTTAAGCTTAAAAAGGTCTCCTTTATTAACAGGCGTTGAACATTTATTTCGGCCATTAAACAGTTAAGTTGAAATGGATTTTACAAAAGTCTCAAAAGTAAGTCTCCTTTTCGATTTTAACTTGCAATATCGGTCAATTTACGCAACTTTTAAAATTCTGACTCAGTTTTTGTTTGCTTCTGCTTTAAAAATGGAATAATAATTTCTCAGAGACAATACAGTGTAAAGAATTGTTGAGAAAAACAACACAAACTTGCCTATTTAAGACAAAAAAGGTACTTTAAAAACGAACTAAAACATTCAAAACGCTTTAATCACGTGACTGATGACGTCTTGTCCCTCTTTTGGTCATGAGAAAAATTATCAGGTAGAACATTACTTTCCTGCAAATATTCTCCTGCCTTGTGATGAAAGGTTGACTCTCTATAGCTCTCGGCCTAGTCTCCCGACTTTTTGGCTCATGTTCATCACCCACTTAAATTTTAAATGGCAACGTCAACTGGTTATTTTTAAATGCCCAACACATCTTAAGGTGGCCCGAACCTATCTATATGCGTGTTGGTTATGTTTTTGATTTGCGTTTTTCACAATGAAAGATTCAACCGATTTCTATGATTTTTGGCATCCTTAATAAATAATAATGGCACTTTAAGAAAATGTTGTTTATTTTCTTGTAGGTATAAAAACCTTGGAGATATCGGCATATATTTAAAATCGCATTTTTACGAAAAATGTAAATAACTTCGAAATCCCCCGACAGATTTTTCCCTAACTTCAGCAAATAAGCCTCAGAACTCTCTAGTTTTACATCTGCAGGTTTAAGACAATCGTGACTGTAGAACTCGCTGAACCAAATGCTGGTCAAATTTAACCTTTAAATGCTACGCTAACACGTCTGTGATAGTTGACACACGAATAGAGGTAGAGTGCCGACAGACTATCTCCTATCTTAAAGGATATTCCTACCTAAAGCTTTATTGCAAGAAACAGAGTAATCAGAAACCTATAGCGAACATAGTTAGCACTACAAGAAGAACTGAACTTCATGCTGAGCGCGCGGTAATATTTAAGAACTTCTATTAATCAAACTTACGTTGTATTTGTCCCTTTCTTATGGAAAAAAATCTTAACAAAGCAAAATATAGCTTCTAAGAAAAACTGTCAAGAGTTTTTAGCGTCGCAGGTTCCCGTTTTGAGGAGAAATAAGGCCACAACTCCAGTACTTCTAACCATCCATTTTTCAGCTGCAATGAAAACCCTTGTATTTGGTAATTTATTCAAGTTTTTTAGACTTGCCATCACATTCGCACGGGAAGTTTACCACTTGGGAATAAAGATGAAGACAAATATGACAATCGTCTTATTCTTCTCATTATCCCCAACAGCAAACTGCCCATGCGAATGTGATGGTAAGTCTTAAAAGTGTGAATAAATTACCAAATACAAGGGTTTTCACTGCAACTGAAAAATGGATGGTTAGAAGTACTGGAGTTGATGGCCTTATTTCTCTTCAAAACGGGAACCTGCAACGCTAAAAACTCTTGACAGTTTTTCGTAGAAGCTAGATTTTGCTTTGTTAAGATTTGTTTCCAAAAGAGAGGAACAAATACAAAGTAAGTTTGATGAATAGAAGTTCTTTAATATCACCGCGCCTTCAGCTTAAAATTGTTCTTCTTAAAGTGTTAACTGTTTTCACCGTAAGTTTCTGATTACCCTGTTTCTTGCAATAAAGCTTTAGGTAGGAATATCCTTTAAGATAGGGGATAGTCTGTCGACAATCTACCTGTATTTGTGCGTCAACTTTCACAAACGTGTTAGCGTAGCATTTTAAGGTTAAATTTGACCAGCATTTTGTACAGCAATTTCTACGGTCACGATTGCCTTCAAACTTGCAGATGTAAAACTAGAGAGCTCTGAGGATAATTTGCTGAAGTTAGGGAAAAATCTGTCGGGGGATTTGAAAGTTATTTACATTTTTCGTAAAAATGCGATTTTAAATATATGCCGATATCTCAAAGGCTTTTATACCTACAAGAAAATAAATAACATTTTCTTAAAGTTCCATTATTATTTATTAAGGATGCCAAAAATCATAGAAATCGGTAGAATCTGTCATTGTGAAAAACGCAAATCAAAAACATAACCATATAAATAGGTTCGAGCCACCTTAAATCTCAAATATGCTGTTTTTTTTTCTTTTTTTAAACTTTTTTTATGAAATCTTGTCACAGCAACAAAAAAACCTAACTCGGCGATAGTCACGAGACTGATAACGTTATTACCCTAGATGCGACATGAAAAGATGTTTTATGGCAAATGTTAGCTTGTTGTGGTCTGTCAGTCTTCTACGTATAAAATTGTCAAAGTTATAAAGCTTTTCAAAAAATGCATCAAAGGATCCTGGGAAATTTTTTTATAATAATTATAATTTACTTTTATAATTATTACATCATATAAACACCAATGAAATACCAGGTGAGCTTTCGCGCGAAAACTTTATATATTCACATGTGAAAATAATATGTTATCTTCACATGTGAAAATATCACCTTTGCTATAGCTACATAATAAATCGCACCTTTCACACCAAAAAACTGTTAAAGTGAAATGGTTTGGTATTTCATTGGTGTTTATATAATAAATAGAACATTACATGGCCGCTTGGAGATATGAAATTTCTCTTCTCGTGATGAAACAATATTTCACTCGAAGAGGAATTTCGTATCTCCACGCGGCCATGTAATATCCTCTTTATCATTCAAAATACTTATTGTTTCTTATTGGCTCAAATCACACCGCTAATGTTGAAATACGTGCTTAAGCTAATTTTTTCTCAAATATTTCTTTGAATTCATGATAAATGCAGCTTCACCAGCTTCAAACAGCGTCTATGACAGAGAAAAAGAGTTTTAATGTAACAAATTTACTTCATCAAAAGTTGAGTGGTACCGTGGTGCAGTGGTCAAGGAGCTGCCACCGGGTGCAGATGAACTCTAGGTTCGACTCTCGGCGAAGCAGTCTTTTGATTCTCAATTTGTACATTTTTTTGTGTTTAGTTTTTGTTTTTTAATCCTGTTTTTCCCTTTGGCTTGTTTTCCCTTACTGCTGACTCTTTGCGAGGTGTGTGCGATAACGTATTTCCAGTAACTTGGCTTTTGTGTGGTTTACCTATAGCTACGGCTTTTACGCTGTACCACACAAAAAAGCCAAGTTATTAGAAATGCGTTATAGCGAAAATCTCGCAAAGCTGTATAGAGTCAAGAGTAAGAATAAAGGGAAATAAGCCAAAGGTAAAAAAACAGCAATAAAACTCAAAACCTAAATAGAAAACATTATAATAAAGAAACGGAAAACAGCTTCGCCGGGGGTCGAACCTAGTTCATCTGCAAGTGTAAACAACTCCTTACCACTGCACCACAGTGACAGTCGGGTTTTGGGGAAAGTAAATTTGTTATATCAAAACCATTGTTCTCTGCTATAGACGCTGTTTCAAGCTAGTAGAGCCGTATTTATCATCAATTCAAAGAAACATTTGAGAAAAAGTTTGCTCAAGCACGTATTTCAAAGCTATTTCGCATTATTTCGGGTTCAAAAGGCCGATTGTGGTAGAAAATCGATCAAACTAGCTGCACTAAATTTAATGGAGAATTCAGAAATACTCGAAGAGATTGATGAGAAGTACGGTCGACTTGATTAGCGAAAGAATATATGGAATGTAAACGTGTGTGACCTCTGAAACGAACCTCCTATTCTGGACACTAGACGTTGCCTAGTTTAGAAAAAAAAAATGAACTTATTTCCTATGCCCTTGCTGGTCCCGTAAAGAAGATGATGATCCGCAACACGGCCCGCGACACAAATTAACAAATTACACAGTTACGGAGTAGACAGAAAATACCAAAAAGGTTTACACAAGCAGATAAAAGCAACAACAAAGCTCACACACCTACGATCAAAGTAGCGATGTATAGCAATATTTGCCTAGTTTTTGATCTTATCCCCGACATCTCTTGTTCGAATTACTATGGTGTCGCTTGAAAATCTGCACAAGCGACCCGAAGCTCTCGCCTGTTGGTATGTGACGCCACACTGACAATGATGAGTGAACCGATGTTTACCTTAGAGATGGCCCCTCCCTACTGGTAACACCCTCAGGTTCTAAAATTAGGTTAAACAATATGCATTACGTGCACATTATACCAAATTTGATCTCTTATTTGAAAAATAAACCCCACCTTGTTTCCATTTCAACTTGCGAAGCCAAGAAATAACTGTTATGGAGTAGCCATGAAAATGACCTTTAAAGACGTTGACAGTAGATCCAATAAATAAAAGGATACTGATAGCCCTTGATCACACCACTCAACGGCTTCTTCAAACTCCTTTAATTTCCAACAGGAAGTCGCCCCTAAAAGGAAATTGACAACATCAATTATTGATACTTGAAACCACTTTTAAGATATGCGCAATATCTTTTAGTGTGGAACTTGAATTGAAACCTACCTT